TACGATTGATTGGAATAATGCGATTATTCTTGACTCCGAACAATCTTATAAAAGGATAGTCTCCGAGATGATACTGTTACGTCCAAGCTCCGCGCGCATGCGGAGCTGAGGGGGTGAACGCAATAAGGAACCGAATTGGTAGACCGATTTGGTCGTGTCCGGGCTCCGGATTGCAAGGGAGCCGTGGGGAAGGACCGACGTAAATCTGGAGGCGCTTCGCTTCGTCCTGAGGCTCCTAACGAGCCAGGGGTCGAACGGAGGACGAAGCGGAAACCTCTGCTTATGCTCCGCTAAACGGACACACGAGTCGGACGTAAAAAGGGCCCAAACTGGATCAGTGTGCCGAGAGGGGCGCACTTTAACGCCAGCTGCGCCAGTACAGCCGTATGCCCTGACTTTCGGTTATAGAACTTAATCCAAGTGACCGGGGAGAGGACGAAGTGCAATCGCGGGAGAGCTTAATAATACGAGGAGAGATTATATTTAAATAAACTACTGAGAAATTAATTTAATAATGATATAATAAAAAAAAAACTTGATACATTTTTTTAATAAAAAAACATAAATACAATTTTGTCAAGCAAATAAAAAAAAATAATACAATTTTTGGTTCTCTATTCTGAGTTATATGTATGCATTTATGGATGTGTGCGCGTGTGCGTGTGCGTGTACGTGTGTGTGCGTGCGTGCGTGCGTGCGTGCGTGCGTGCGTGCGTGCGTGCGTGCGTGCGTGTGTGTGTGTGTGTGTGTGTGTGTGTGTGTGTGTGTGTGTAAAGTATCGTGGCAGAATGGAAGGAAGGAGTTACGGAGAGAATAACGAGAGAATAAAAACGAATAAAGGAGATTTTAGAGAGTGGATTTGAGAGGGTTTGGCCTAATTTTCCTCGGATGATGATAGTGTTAGCGGACACGAACGACCGGTCGACAGGGGGCGAACAATTATCGTGCGGCGACGACGACAGATTGAAATTATAACGTGAACAGACTGCAATGTTTCCATTTTCTTGTAGGAGGTCAAAAGCGAGAAAGAAAGAAAGAAAA